ATTCTGCACCCTGTGTCCAGTACACCCAGGTGCTAGGTAATGGTCAGGATTGTAGCACTCTGCCCATCATTGACATCACCAGTGGGAGCCACTGTGGACACTGGTGATGAGAGACAGATGAAATCCAGATTTTTTTAAAAAAATTGGAAAATGCATTTAATGATGAACAAGTATTTGGTGTTCAAAATACCTTTAAATCAGTATGCTCCTGCTGTTACATTCATGTCATACACAAACTAGTGTTTGAACTACAAATAACTGCTAGTGATTCAGATCTCCATTACATCAGTGTTATATATGCATAGTTTGGATTTTTAATTAGGCAACTTCACACTCCATTAGCGGTAAACAAGACTGAGTTTAAAGCTATACCTCCAAGATTAGCCAAAAAAAAAAAATTGTTCTCATGGCTGAAGAAAAACACAATTCTGAAATAAAAAGGCAAAATGATAAACATTTATTTAAGTTTTTGCTTTTGGAGGTTTGAAAGTTAATGAAGACTTTTAAGAACTTTTTCTAGTAGCATCGAGAAATAAAGGTCTCTTCTAAAAATATGTAACAACCAAATATGCAAATCTTTATTATTTATCACTACTAAATATAGACTTACAGTGTGGAAATATTTTCTGGCATAAGGTTTGCCTTCTGATAGTTATTTTCTGCGAAATTTCATAGAGAAAAGTCTATTTCTATTTTCAGCAATGTATGGTAATTATACTGATTACTCTGAGGTTCCAAAGTTTTAACTAACTCTTTTATTATACAACTAGAAGATACATAATTTTTTATCAGAAAAAAAATTGAACTTTTTTTTCTATCTTAACACATACCTAATAACAACTGAACACTGGACAATTAATCAAAAACAAAAACATACTTGAAAATTTTGTGGGCTTATGAACACACTTGGATGTGCACACTTACACATATGATGTGTAAATATGCACACACAGAGATCTAAAAAAAATGTTTGCAACACCTAAGACATAAATTTCAGAATAATAATTACAAATTCTGATGTAAAGTCCAAAAGAAGTTAGTCACCTAAAATAGCTAAATGTATTTTTCTTTGAAGTCCATGCTTTTGTTATGGATTTTAGGAAATGAAATACACTAACACATGATATAAACATTTTTGCAGACATTCACTGAACTTTTTTTAATTGATGAAATATGGAATGTTACACACAGAAAAAAAAAAAATCCTTCTATCTTTTCCAGCCTCAAGATCACTTTCTGAGTGCTGGTAAGCTTTCAATATAAAATAGCTAACTTACACTTTCTTATATGCCAAAAAAGTTACATTAAAGAGATATTGCTAGCTTTGCGATTTATCAGTGTTTCAGCGTACATTTTCTGTCAAGTGTATTTGCTCAAAACCTTACCATTGTATCTGCCTTTGTATCGTTAAATATATATCTTTAAGACTGACAAAATAAAACAAAAAGGTAATTAACACACTCTAAAATACATATTTTCACATAATGTAGTACTAGCAAACATGCCCCACTTTTTAGGTAGAAGCCAGCCTAATAGAAAGCTGTTAATGTTTGGAGGATTTTTATAAAAAATGTATCTTCTATTTTTAAAATATTTAAAGCAATAAAAGTCTATGGTAAACATGGTATTACATATCTGACATTTTCCACCCAGAAATGCATTACTGTGTACGATGGTATTAATAAACCATGTGCTTTGAGGGACTTCTGTGCTTTGACATAATTTAGTTGAAAACAGCGTGTAGAATGCATATTTTTCCACCATTGTATCAGCATATAGAAAACAAATACTATGTCGTCACCTCAGCAGCATGCATTCACTATATTGGAAACATATGCAAAAAACCAAAAACTTTTGAGAGTTCAGAAAATTCCCTTTACCAGAGACTGATTTACAAACCAGTGGTTAATGACAAAGTGTTGAGCACTTAAAATTTTGTTAGAAAAACAAAAACAGGCACCCTCATCTGACTCCGACTGCATTCATAGGAAAACAGCCCTCCCTGTTCATCAGAACAAAATAATTTAATTTCTTTCCCCACTTCAGGTTATTATTTGAAGCAAATGAAAAGACAATGTTTCTTCTCTCTTCTGGCTAAAGCTCAAAACAGCACGGTTAAAACACACATATAAAACCTACAGACTTATCAGAAATCACAAAACAGAAAGAGAAGGACTCACTGACCCATTTGGAAGACAAAGACGACAAAACGGAAAAGCTCTAAAAATCAGCTTGTGAGGCCTTTGAGAGATATTCTTCTGGCATTTCATCACAGCAGCCCCAGACCAGTTCACTTCCCTGGATACAGGGAGGGAGAACTAAATAGAGCTGTTTATTAAAGCTGTTGTGCTGGATTGCATTAGGAAGCACGAGCAGACCACCTGGACCTTTCAGATTGTGGCAGTGTTTAATTTGCAGGCTGCCCCTCTGCAGCAGCAGAGACTACTACATTTACCAAGCTCAATCACACATTTCTGGATTAGGAGTAAAAGAAGAAAAAATAAAAAATAATAATAATTTTGAAAAAGCCACAGCCTGTAGTACAGGAAAACAGGCAATATAGAAATAATGAATAGCATTAGAAATAGAAAACAACTCCCCAGCAAACATAACAGTTTCACTCAGTTCTTCTCCTTCAGCACATTTAAACAAAATAAAACAGCAAATTATTAAATTCATTGATTTGGCAAACTCAGACTAAATTATAAATGGGGTTTATTAGAAGAAAAGCTTGGTAATTTAGTTTTATCTAGTGATTCCCTGGCCAGATTATTGTGGTTCTTTTGCCTTTCTCACTTTCAGTACTACACTTTCTGGTAGCTGAAGATACAGATAGAAAGATGGTACTGTAAATATGAATTATGTGAATCATATGGTTAGACCCTTGTGAAAAAAAAAAAAATAAAAGGGGAGTTGAGAAATGGCTGACTCCATACCTGACCAATTACAGCTTGCATGGTCCCTGTGTCCTGCTGAGCTGAAAGATCGCAATCCATCATATGTAGTCTTTGAAAAGGAGAATGGGGGTTTCTGGCATGCATCTGTCAATCAACTTCTGCACTCACAACCATCACCAAAAGCAAGAGAAAAAAAGTCAAGCTGCTCCACCAAATAGGATGAAACAGTCATGTGACCTTCAGCACACTCACACACATACATACTTCCATGGAACGTATGAATTTTCTGCAGATATGAAATGACATTGACAAATACCCAATACCAAGTAAATAAAGTGAGACAAACAGCTACTCACCAAAGAGAAAACACTTGCTGTAATCTTCAGCCTAAAGATTTAATATACCTAAAAGGTATTTTAAGCCAAGGATTTTCTTTTGAGCCTAAACTTTTCAGATAAGGTGATATGATTTTATGTATGCAGACAGTGGTCAGAACTTTAACCCCTTGTGTTCTCTTACAGCCTCTATTTTTATTCCCTCCGTTATAGTTCTACTTTATGGCTGTTTGAGTTCTTGATTTTTTTTTCTTTAAGTTTCTTTTGTGTCAAAGTGAAGTGGATTGTGTTGCCTTCTTCGAATGTGCACAAATTGTAAGAACTAGACAGAAGAAAATTGCTAACAGGAGAAAAAGGAGCAAGGGCTGAGAAACCTGTGTCTGTAGTCACAAGCCAAAACATGTCTCACTGCTTTACTCCACCAGAAGTCAAATGTTTTCTTTACTGGAAATATATATCAAAATATTAGTTTATGTGAGCTGTGATGAGCATTCAAAATATAAAATATTCAGACTATGTAAATCCTACTTACAGAATCCTTTGCATTTTGAAGGTTGGCAGAGTTTTGGTTCATTCACTGCTCCAGTGAACTGACATAAAATCTAGTTACTTACGAAGGCAAACATTACCATTTTTTCTAATGGAAGCAGTTTGTTTCATATATCTTCCCTTCTGAGTTAAGATTTGCAAGAATTTCCGAGACTATTTTTTCTTCTTGTCAAAATATATCAGCCACTTGTCTCCAAAAACTGAGTGTCCTGAACAACACACTGCAGCACTGATTGCTGATACGTTATTGGCCAGTGATTTCTGAAGGGTGACATTAATGCAACCTGGTAGCACTTTAACCCTTTGAAGATCAATACAGTCCTCTGGAAATACAGTAGAATAACAGTCCATAAACTTTTTGCTGTATTACACCTTCGTATAAATCTTAGTGCATCTTTCTGTCCTCCTAGAATTGCTTTTCAGTTACTAGTGCAAACAGCATGCTTTCCAAAGATTGTCAAAAGCAAAAATGCAGAATTAAAAGCAGTTTAGTCTCTAAGTTTAAACCTAACACACTCTTTCCATTTCAAGTAAATTTCTGGCAATATTTTGAAGTTATTATCTCATTTTTAAAGGTATTGAAAATATTGATCTTAGCTGTTATAGTCAAAGAAATGTGAGAATATCAACAATATTCCAATTGTAGGCACAGCACTTGCCAGTCTAATTTTTCCTACAATATAATTTTAAGATCCAACATGCAGGAGTGTTTGGAATGTGTATGTGTATGTATGTATGTATGTATACATACATACATACATATATATATATGCATATGCATGCAAGTATATAACAAATGAAATGGGTGTTGAGGGAGTGAGACAGACAAGGATCATCCAGTTTACTTTGCATTGTTTGAGTTTTTAGAATATGATTTTATTTTTTTTTTAATTTTTAAGAAAAAATTTAAGAAAGGAAGTTTTGGTCTGTATTTAAAAAATTAGAAACAAGAAGAACTGACATGCAGATGCATGGGGAACAAGAAGTGTTCCGAGGTCAGCGAGATATTTTAGCATTACAAACTTTTCAGATTTAGCATTTTTAGAAAGATATACAGTATTAACACTGAAACATTGTCTCAGAGATGGGGAAGGAGTACTTGAAATGGTGCTGCCAACATCTGCTTTGCATTTCATTGATAAACATAATTAAAATGCACCATTTGTGCTGAAATCTTATCTGCTTCTTACTCATGAAAGAAAATACACTGAACTAATACCTTGGTCTGCCTTTTGGTCAGCTGAGAATTTCCTGTGGACTTATCCTTCAGGACAGTTCTGTGGAAAAAACAGGCAGTATTGTGAAGGCCATAATCAACATCCGTATCATCACAAGCAATTCAAAATACAACTGGTAAATGGGTGAGTGAGTAGAGATTGCCTTGGCTGTCTCCAGGAAAATACACAGACAGAAGTCAAATACTGCATGTGAAGCTGAAAGGAAAGTTAAGGATGTCTATTTTATAGTTCCTCTTCAGGAGGAGCCTTTTTGCAGCGAATATGCATAAACACCTATCAAATTCCCTTAACTTATTTAAGTAACTAAACCTGGCAATTACCACTGCACTGGGGTTTTTATTAGCAAAGACACTGACATAGACATATGTTGCACCACATAAATAAGCACAGCATTGTATACACAAGTCTGTTGCACCCTGTTGCACCCTTATGCACCAACAAACCAACTATCGCGTTGCGCACACTCAGAACTGCAAGAGCTTCTTCCTCCCATATGTGCTGCCTCTCTTTGTGCCATAATTAAACTATACTTCCAGGAAATGCCAGTCTATGCCACCAAATGTAAAACAACATCCCTGCACCTAATGCCTCTGCATAAGTCACGTCACCACTGTTAATCTGAACAGCTGTAAGAGCCTCTTCTGCTACCCCTGGAGCTGCCCTTACCTCTGAGGAGCTGGAGATCTTCACCCTCAGCCACATCTACCTGGTCCTGTCTGTAGGGGCTGCACAACTGGTCCCTGGACACTGTTTCAGTTTTGCTACTCATCCTTTGAGCTTTCCACAGGCCATCTCCTATGAGGTGTTGGTCCAGTTTTGCCTTTTTACTTACTGTAAGGAATTCTCTCCCTAACACATCATCCCCCCCCATTTCCTTTGCTGCTGAAGAGATTATTTAGCTCTCTTGTCAACAGTCAAAAAGGTGAGAGCAAGGTAGCTCCTAATCTGCCACAAGTAGACTTGGGTGGAGAGCTGGGTGCAACAGGGGAACTCCACTGGCCAGGTTCCCTTTAGCACTGGCAACTTGAGGAAAGCTATTGAAGGACAGAATGACAAATACTGCTTACAAACCAGCTGTGCTGTATCCCCCACAGAGACCTTCTGGTCTCCTTTGAAACTTTTTATCTGTGGCTCTCCCTCAGTGTACCCAAGAGGAAACCGCTTATGAAGCCACAGCAATATACAGCAGATATGCCTTCCTATATGCATGCCCCTTCAGCACCAGGCACAAAGAGACAGGTTTGCATTGTTGAACCTAAGATAGTTGAGAGGGGGGCATTGATCAAGGCTTACAGATGGAGGAGGCTGCTTTATCACTTAATTTGTGACAGTGCAAATTCAAGGTGATACAAAGCCTGTGTTTTGAGCTGCACACCGGATCTCTGACAGGCAGGAAGAGTAGCACTCCCCGGCAACACTGAATACTTTTATCTGCAGTAGATTTTCCCTTTTTAATTGAAAGAACAAAAAAAATTAAAGTGGTACTTTTGAATAGAATAGCTTGAATTTACCTCTCAGCTACACACCTAAGAACTTGTGAAAATAGTATTACTGTCTATAGTAATTTGTCTTATGTTTTTCAGGAGAATATATATTTTCTGGATGACAAAAACAATGGTTAGAATTATACAGCAATGCAAACCCCAATTACTTAATAGCTAAACTGTGTTAGAACACACATTCATTTTTTAAAGCTCATTATTTATAATTGTTTATGGTTCCTTACTTCACAAACTAGAAGCCTAGTGATCAACAGAGACCAGGAATTTACTAAAATACCTTTAGGCGCTTGCTCACATGCCATAGCAGAGCTTGCAGCAGATTTAATGAATCAAGCAAGGGATCCTCCTGCTTCTTACAGCATTGGTACACTAGGGGGACTCTTTTTCCTCTTTTCTAGAGTGATGGATGCAGGGCATTGTCAGAGCAAGCTGTTGTGCCTCACACTACAGGCCCTTTACTCACCAATTAAACATGCAGGACTCAGTCTTGCACTCTTCAAAGACTAACAGGCCTAATTCTAAACAGTCAATGGCTCTTCCTCCCTCTCTCATTCTCTCTCTCCATCTCTGCCAAACAGATAGAATATTACATTTTGCATCTTCATTTTCATGGATATGTGACTGCGTTTTCCGTGTATGCTAATTCCAAAATAATTGTTTTGAGAGACAGTAATGGATTACGGTCTCTGCCTATGCAAGCCCATTCTGGTCAATCATTTTTACATTTTGAAGGAAATTTTGCTATTAAAAAAACTTCTGATGCTTCTAATTTCTCCTCCTCCAGAGTTCATTAATATATAATTTCTCTGGGTTTCTCCCACTCCCCCAGAGCTTCACTTTTCAAAAACCAAACTACTGGGACATATTCACTCAATTCAAGAATGGCACTTCCTTCCCTTCATAAGTGCTCAATTATGTCATGGAAAGGTAATCCAGGAAAAGAAGATGCTTCTGTGCCTAAATTTATAGAACAAGGCCTAAGCATAATCTACATTATACTGATTCCTGTGCAGCCAGTGGGAGAGCTCCCTTTCCATCAGTGCTTATCCTTTACTGTCTAAAAAAAGTGTCTGCAAAAGAACTTTCTTTCTCTTTGTTGTTTTAGAGAAAAGAAGCTTGCTGTAATGCTTTGTATTTTGGGAAGGTGGGAATAAATTCTCCCCCTTTCCTTCTAGATCTAACAAGCTGGTTTGATTGAAAACTTATTTTTGTGTCTCAGGGAGACAATTGTTCAACGGGTCTTACAGTTTTCTGATTAAACTAGAATTTATATAAAATGAAAATCTAGGAAATGTGACTGTGATTCTTTCTACATAGTGAACTACACAGCGAAGAGACAGCACCTTCCTCCTCTACTCTTATGTAAAGTGATGGGAGGTGATTACAGCAATGATGTTAGAACCTAGTTAATCAGAGGACAAGCTAATCTCACACCTCTCCCAGGTGAAACAGAATTGTGGAATAAAAACATCTCAAGAGGCAAGATAGATTAGCAAGAAATTGTGATATTGCGTGGGTAAGGTTTAAGAATATACTTTCCAGATGCATTACTAACTACAGCATTCTAATAATCCACATTCCTCACATCTCATGGTGTCTTCTGTAGTATCAGGTACGATAGGGTTTTTAAGACATCTCTTTGTTGGATATAGCATGGACAATAATGGAGATTTACATCAGGTGAAGAACAGACTATATTTGGGTGAACTAACATCACTCAAGCAAGGCAAATAAGAAATCCAAACTGGCAAAAAGATGATTCTTACGGTGAATGGAATCTTCTTTTTCCAAAACTCTTACAAAATCTTTGGCAGGATTCAGAACATGTCAAGGAGAGCAGAAACATCAAAAAAAAAGGTATATTTTTCTGTTCATTGAATAATAGGCATTTATTAATGAGTCCCAGTATTAACTGTGTAACTCTTCATAGTAGTAATGCTTTTACCACACCAGCAGGGAAAAGCAGATATTTTCAGTGTGTGTGATGATGATTAACTTCTTATTCACTGGTATATCTGCTTTTATTTATTTGAGCTGTAAATTATCTTGCATAGCTCTTATTTCCACTTCAACACAACACAATGAAGTGACAGCATCATCAGAGACAAAAAAAAAGAGTGGAGGTGGATGTGGCAGGCAGGGTGTGTAGTGCCAGTGAAAGCACACATTCCATACAAAATACATATCCCTTAGATCCCCATCTTGTAAGCAGATGCCTCTCTCTCATGGAAAAAAAATAAAAAGCCTGAGTAAAATGATGTATCCAAATACCTGTGCTCCTCTTGCTTCAAGCACGGTACCTGATATTTGAATATTTCATGTATAAGTAAAGGTACATTATATACAGAGAGGTACTTCCCAGTGTTACATTAGGACATCTCTCAGTGAGAAATGTTTGATCTTCTGATAGTCAGTTCACATAATTTGGTTATAGACTTTATATCCTGCTGTGTATTGCACAGGAGAGAAAATGTGATAGGTTTGAGCTACTGAAAGAGCTGCCATGTACTAATTCTTCCTGAATTTGTTTCATCTATCAGTAAACTGTGTTATTTGCTTATGCATATAGGAAAGTCAGTAAGTGATGACATTTATTATAAATGCAGTTAATAGAAAAACCTATATTTAAGTTTAGCTAATATTTTTTCTCTTAAGGTGTTTATGACTCTTTGCCAGACTTTAATGCTCAGACACCTGCTGAGGATGTCTGTAGTCTTCCGTTTGGCTATATGTAAACCAGAAGCTTTCATGGTGAGGCAGGATGGGTTCATGGAGGACAATCAACTGATTGGTCAATGAATACTTTGACACTCTCTGGCTTAGGAAGTGCCTGAGCTGCAAAATATTGGAGGACGAAGTGCAAGAAGGTTGTCAGGGCAGCAAGTGCCTACTGCTCACTGAAGATGGATGAGCAAGGAGCTGCTGGTGATGCCGGCACAAGCCATGCCCTCATGGTCCTCTGGCCCAGATGGGCAGAGCCAGCAGCTGGTAACCTGCTCTATCAAGAGCCTCTGATACATAGAGGGAATGAGCTGGGTCCAGCCAGGAAAACTAGTCGTGAATAGTGAGATACAGCTGGAAACAGGTCTGGAGACAGGGCTGTATGGGTCCCAGGTCCATCCAGGAGACAGGGCAGGAGACAAGCTATGACCTAGGTCTCAGTGGTCCATCCAGGAGGGCAGCTCTCTACAGCTATCTATAAAGATTCTTTAACTGAACAGACATCTGGCAGCTTTCTGCACTCATTGCACCAGCTTTGCAAACTCATTACCATGCATGTGCTAGGAGACTGTTTTTCATATTTTTGTCCTAAAATTAAAAAGAAAAATAAGTTCCTTTGTATCTGAATGATATCATTGGTCATTTCATCACACTGACCATCACAGGTGGTTTCAAGTGAGTGTATAAAACCCAAACTCTTCAATTCTTCTTCCAGCTATCTCCAGGTGTGTAGGGCCTCTAAAGGGAGGCAGTTGCCTTCTAGTGTCAGATGCCCACCTGTGCAGTTACCTCCTTACCCATGTCAGCATTACCAGC